ATTACTGGCATGAATCTCACGAAAGGTGAAACCGTCTTAAAAAGTTGGATCTCATAGGAAACAGAGAGTCACAAACAGTGGTTTACCAAGGACTGGGGATGCAGGAGGGAGGCAGGAAATGGGAGATGTTGGTCAAAAAAATAAAAAACATTCTTTTTGGGGCGGGACAGTCATTGCTCTGTCGGCCCAGCTGGAGTGGCATGACCGCGATGTAACGCTCTGGTGCCTCCCAGGTCAATTGGTTCTCAGCTGCTGGCCGTCCCAAGTGCTGGAGCTACAGGGGTGGGGCGCACCACCACACCCGGGTAATTTCGTATCTTAGGTAGAAGCAGGGTTTCACTATGTGCCCCCAGGGGCTTGGCTAGAACTCCGAGCTTCTGGAAATCCCCCACCCTGGCCTCCCAAAGGTGCTAGGGGCTTACAACGTTGAGCCCCATGCCCGACTAAAAGGCTAGAACAGCATTCTAAGATGGAACAAGGTTTTTCGCGAGCTAGGTACGAGGAATGGGAGAATGGAGTGGTATTAGTTGAGGGTGTCGTAATCATGTACACAGGGGGGCATAGCGATATACTTGCACATTTAAAACCGCGGCCACTGGTTAGGGTATAACAAAAATAAAAAGACATTGTTTTTTTGTTGTGGGTTGTTTGGACGGAGTGGCACGCTCTGTTTGCCCCAGGCTGAAGTGCGTGGCGGATCTCACGTCCACTGCAGCTCGCCCGCGGGTTTACGCGGCCATGCTCCTGCTCAGGCTCCCGAGTTAGCTGGGGGTATACAGCGCCCGGCCCACCGTCGCCCGGCTAGTTTGGTGACCGTTTTAGTAGAACGGGGTTTCACGGGTTAGCCAGGATGGTTCCGATCTCGGACGCTGGGTGAGGCGCCCCCGTCTCGGCCTCCCAAAGTGCTAGATACCAGGGCGTGAGGCAGCGCGCCCGGCCAGAAGACAGCCAAAGACATGTATTTTTAAAAAATGAAAGAAAAACAGAGAAAAGATGAGGCAAGCATAAGAAACCTAGTGGTTTTCATTTGAAGGCAGTGGTTTTTAAACCAGACCATTTTCACAAAAGGAATGAGAACATCTCAGTATTATATATTTGATAAAATTCCCAAATAAATTTAGTCACAATAAAACAAAGTTGCTTATGCAGAACCCTTGAAATACAATGTATGTAAAAATATTTTTACTATTGTGCTCAAGAATAGAGATTTTGAGGACAATTCTTACATATTTAAGAAGAAGGAAAAACTTTAGTTAATACTCAGACTTTATTCAACATCAGAAAATACACAATGAGAAGAAAATCTACAATTTAAATCAGCTTGCAGATACATTTACTTCTGGATCACAACTTACTCAGCATTAGAAAATTCACACTGGCTGGGTGTGGGTATTCACCCTGTAATCCTAACACTTTGGAAGGCTGAGGGCAGGAAGAGGCCTTGAGTCCAGGAATTCCAGACCAGCCTGGGCAACATAGCCAGACCCTATCTCTACAAAAAATTTAAAAATTAGTCAGCTGTGGTGGTGCACACTTGTCCCAGCTACTCAGGAAGCTAAGGTTGCAGGGTCCTTTGAGCCGAGGTCATAGTATGCTATGATCATGCCTCTAATTAGCCACTGCATTCCAGACTGGGTAACATAATGGCATCCTGTCTCTAAAATAAATACATAACAAATGAGAAAATAGTTGGCTGGGCGCAGTGGCTCACACCTGTAATCCCAGCACTTTGGGAGGCTGAGGCAGGAGGATCACCGGAAGTCAGGAGTTCGAGACCAGCCTGGCCAACATATGGTGAAACCCTGTCTCTACTAAAAATACAAAAAAATTGGCTGGGCATGGTGGCGTGTGCCTATAATCCCAGCCACTTGGGAGGCTGAGGCAGGAGAATTACTTGAACCTGGGAGGCAGAGGTTGCAGTAAGCCAAGATCACGCCGCTGCACTCTAGCCTGGGCAACAAGAGCAGTAACTCCGTCTCAAAAAAAAAAAAAAATTGGCTACATGCAGTGTTTTTATCACATTAACAGTCACTTTTTGAAAAGTCATCTGGCAAAAACAACTGTTAACATTAGATGACAGTGACTTTGACAAAGCCCTATACTACTAGGGTACAAATGACTGAAGAGATTGGCACAAAATGAGGAAAGGGGCTTCGTTTCTGAGAATACCAGTTCCACTCAACACTAGATGCTCTCCTGCCTATGGAAATCCACAGGGGCAGTTGCAGAGAGTGCTGCATGTTTCATAGTGTTGGGAGAGGACAATGAAAACTAACATTTACCAGGTGCCTGCCATGGACTATTCCTGGGCTTGAGGCTCTAAAGATGTTCCTTTGAACAATAACAGCAGCCATCTAGATTAGGTGGTCCTTAGTTATGGCAGAAAAGAGGGGACTGAGGCCCAAGGAGCTAGTAAGTGGTGGATTCCAGTCTTTTCTTCCAACGGATTAGTAGACACCAATGGCCCATGCAGAGTGTTTCTTGATTTTTGAATACTAACATCATGAATAGCAAATGCTGGCATAGCAATAAGGGTGTGCCATACATCTGGTCACATTCAAATCATCAGTCCCTTCTCTTTCTGCATAAACACTTGATCTTACAGAATCAGGATATGGAGAGATGCTGGCCAGGGCCATAGATGAGGTGCTTCTGCAGTTTGCAGTTTCTCTACTGTCCTCAGGACACTGTCATAGTATTAACCCTTTTCTGCCTAGTGATAGTGATATCTGAAAAGGTTATCAAATCACCTCTCCTCTAGAAATAAATAGGTTAGTATCTAAACCTGGCCATCAGTAACACATGACATGTAATTCTGAATAAGCAGTAATTCACTGCTCAAGTGTCCAAGGAAAAACAGGCTCTTTTCCTGGGACTTGTACAGGAGGCTTGGAGAGGGTCACTTCCCAGGGTCTGGCTGTATTGAGTTTGCAGATTTGGGTTGTAACTCATCCAAACTATCTGGGGAATGCAAGTTAACCTGACAGGAGAAAGAGAAAGAGGAAAAAGACTCATGTTCAAATGGAAATTAAATACGTGTCTGATAGATTCCACAAATGTCTTGGATACATCTATGAACAGTGTCTGGCACCAGCTGGCTCCAGCACATAAGGGTTTGCTGTGTACCTGAGGGAGACTCTGTCACACTTGACCCAAGGAGGCCTGCTTGGTGACCAGGCAGGCATAGTAAGCATGGAGAACACACTTGGTCTCTTTCTCCTAGACCCAGACAGGAAACAGAAAACTTTCCTCAAGGCCACTACAGGCCTTTTTAGCGGGCTATGTTACCACTGGCTGGCATTCTCAGAGAAAACACCTCTCCGCTAAAAAGTAAAACCCAGATTCTCCCAGCGTGTGTAAGATCCTAGGAACCGGAGCCCCTCCATTGGGTAGAGAACAATCAGAATGAGGCTTTCTTCCCTCACTTCGGGAGGTTGCTGGCTTTGTAGCCCGGCTCCAAGGCCCCTCTTCCAGGCCACTTCCCCGACTGGGCCAGACCTCTTGCTCTTAGGACGCTCCGAGCGAGGCCTGGGGCCCCGCTCCGTGTGGCCTGCCTGGACCCCAGAGGGCCGCGCCCTGGAGCTGCCACTGATGTCAGAGGCACGACTCTTTTACGTATTCCCAGGAGCGGAAGACAGAAACAGTGGCCTTGGGGACAGAGGGGTGGGAACACTTCACATCCACTGCAAGATAATGAAGTGGAAGAAGGCATTTCGGCTTCAGAGCTGGCGGGGACCTGGCCACTGGAAAGCCCGCGCGGAGTTCTCTCGCCTGTCTCCGCCCAGGTACGCCTCCCCGAGCCTTTTGTACGACTCACCGTTGTTAATGGTCACACATTCTTTCTCCCCTTAGAGTTAACACTGTCATAACCATTGAAGCGCGGGCCGAGGAGCACCATATCGGCCATAGCCTTTGTTGCCCCGCCTTCAAGTCACTGCGCGTGCGCATTGCTTTGACCTCGCGTTCCCAGGGGGCGGTAGGAAGCGGAAATGCTCGGCTGACCCGGAGGGTGGCGCTTCGTTCACACTGGCTGTGGTCTTCCGCCCCTGGGGTTTCAGGCTCTTGGCAGTGAAGTAAGCGGGAGGGGGGTGGTGATGGTTTCGATAGGGGAATGTGGGGGACGGGAGGAATGACGGGAGTTTACGGGGCCGTGGGGTCATGGGGCCACGGGTGAGCGCCCTTGTAGGGGTTGAGTGACACGGGCGGTGGGCGTGAGTGTTGGGGGCGAGGTTCGGGGCCAACGACTGACTAATTGATTGAGTCACTCAGCGCTTGTATCCTCACCCCCTGGTAATTGCCAGGTACTCTTGCAAATGTTTCACATTAATAGGAGCCCTGTGAGGTGTTACGATGATTATTTTCCTGCTATAGAGAGAAAACGGCACAGTGTGGCTTGGCAGCCTGTCCAAAGTCACGTAGGTAGCAAACCTGAGGGAGCCTTTTTCTTTTTCTTTTCCTGTACTTTGTGTATCATGTTTATTATTTCCTGTGTGTCTCTTCTTCCAGACTAGAAATCTGGAACTGGGAATTTGAAATTTTGTTCACTGATGGACTTGCAGCACGGAGAACGGGCTCATGGAAGGCACTCATTTCTTCAGTGAATGAAAGTGGCACAGCAGGTGATCAGTTGGTTCCAAAGCCCCACTCAGAAAGGCAGGGTTTCGCTCACTGAGGATAATTGAGTTGTGCATGAATGTCAACTCTTAAAGCTAGAATGAGGCATTACCCCTCTTCTGTTGGGTAAAAACCTTTGGGTTTTACTCAACTTCACTGCATGGAAGGGAGCATAGGTGTTGCTAATTGAATCTCCTGTGGTCATTGTGTTTCAAGGGTCAGAGTGCAGACCTGAGACCACTGCTACACCGACTTCAGACTCCAGTTTATCTGTGACCCGGCTTCCTCACTTAGTCTCAGAAGACTTAGGCTGAGGCCCCAGGAGGAGGTGAGTTCCCTGGGTCACAGGCAGAGATCTGGTGCTATAGTGATGGCCCCAGCTGGGGTGTGTTTGTCTCTGAATCTCTTGGTCCTACCGCCTTGGACATAAGAGAGGTACGCTGAGCTGAGGCGAGTTGGAGGAGAAGCCTCAGCCCAGAGTCCAGACCCAGATCCTCAGGGCAGAGAAAGGAGGCTCACAGGACAGCAGGTCCTAGAAGAGCTGGACCCGTAGTGACCTTTGTCCCTCACTTCTGCTGAGACAGAGCAAACTGGCTCAACTTCCAGGTGCCATCGAGGACCATGTGACAGTGCAGTTTGATTCCTACTGGAGGAGGGACAGGTGAAAGTCACAGGTGAATGGAGGCATGGGTGCCCCCGCCATGGGGCAGGTGCCCCGCTGTAGTGCCTGCAAAGGCAGGATGAGGCTAGAAAGGATCACAGCCAACCACAGAGGATTGGCCTCTCCTAGCACACCTATTTGTGCACCCCCGTGCTTCCTTCTTTTGCCATTGGCTTTTTCTGACTTTGAGTCAGCCCCACATCATCAACCAGGCACCTGCTTCCAGGGGAAATGCGAGTGTCCCTTCATCCTGACCAAAGTGCAGAAAATATATTTTTAGTTTATAGAATTTCAGAGTAGTCTCTAGGTACGCTGTCATCCAGCTCTGCTGCCTTATTTAGAAGCTTAGTGAAACTAGGTCTGAGGACATGACTTGTTAACCTACACGGAGCTGAACCCTGTTGTCCTGATGGTATCACAGTGATTGCTGAAGTAAGAAATGGTTACTCTGCACAGAAGCTCCTTGCTGGAACTTTCTTTTGAAAAACTGCCAAAGAAGGAGGAGCATGGCAATCAGAATACAAATCGTGGGAAAGGAGGAAGTGGTGGGGTGGGAACAGGGTAGGTGGCCAGTTAAAGAGGCGGGTGCAGGGGAGCAGGCACAGTGGTTTTCAACCCCTCACAGAACTGACAGTACTGGGCTGTTACCCACCCAGCCCCACACCTCTCCTCCCCTGCAGCCCTTTGAGCCCGTGTTGAGCTCCTTCCTCCAAACCACATCAAGAGATCCTACTCATACACACTTGCAGAGGGTCTTTTCACCTCTAGGGCTCTGTTTGATAAGAATTGATTTTTAATAATTTTTAATTTTTGTTTCATTAGTAATTAATTTTCATTGTCAAAAATGCAAATAAACAAGAAAATTAAAATCACCAATCAATGTAACCAATGTCAGCATTTGAATAAATGCTGTTTGAGATCAGGCGCTGTGACTTACGCCTGTAATCCCAGCACTTTGAGAGGCCAAGGCAGGTGGATCACCTGAGGTCAGGAGTTCGAGACCAGACTGACCAACATGGTGAAACCCCGTCTCTACTAAAAATACAAAAATAATTAGCTGGACATGTTGGTGCATGCCTATAATCCCAGCTACTTGGGATGCTGAGGCAGAAGAATCGCTTGAACCCAGGAGGTGGAGGTTGCAGTGAGCCAAGATCATGCCACTGCACTCCAGCCTGGGCAAAAAGAGCAAAACTGTCTCAAAAAAAAAAAAAAAAAAGAATAAATGCTGTTTGAGACTTCATATTTGTACATATTGCTTAACAAAAATGAGATCACACTGCAGTTGCTGTGCCGGAACCTCCTTTTAAACACCCAGGAACTGAAAACGAAGTTCAGAAACCATCTTTAAAGCCTGTGTAGTATGCTTGTTTTGCACGTTTCATATTTTTTTACTGAGTCCCCTTTGCTGCACATTTAGTTGCTTCCAAGTTTTTTGGGGTTTTTTTGTTTATTTTTGAGCCAGGCTCTGACGTTTTCACACAGGCTGGAGTGCAGGAACGTGATCATGGCTCACTAACCTCGCACTCCTCAGCTCAAGAGACCCTCCCACCTCAGCCTTTTGAGTAGCTGGGACTACAGGCATGCACCACCACGCCAGCTAATATTTTTAATTTTTAGTTTTGTAGAGACAAGGCCTTGCTATGTTGCCCAGGCTGGTCTTGAACTCCTGGCCTCAATCAATCCTCTCCTTCAGCCTCCCCACATGCAGGGATTATAGGCACATTTTTTTAGTGGAAATGACAACAGTAACATTTTGCATCTTTGTGCTAGGAATAGAACTCTTGAGGTAAAGGAGATGTTAAGTTGTTACTGGTTTCTGACATTTAGATGACCTTGGACACAAGTCATGCATCTGTCCAGTAAGGGAGACAAAGTTTCATGTGCAAAACCCACATGATCTTAGTAGCGAGACAGTTTCATGTGTAAAACCCACATGATCTTAGTAGCAAGACAGTTTCATGCGTAAAACCCACATGATCTTAGTAGTGAGACAAAGTTTCATGCGCAAAACCCACATGATCTTAGTAGCATCCCATGGGAATAGGCTGAAGCTACTAGGCTTTATTTTTAGATCATTCTTCCCAGGGTGCAAAGGTAATTATTATTAGGGTGGTGATGATGATCTTATGTCTATACCCACTGAACTCAACCTTTCTAATTCTGTCTTTATAGATCTCCATCCTTTGCCGGAGCACAACAAGATGGCCATGTCCCAGGTGAGTTCTAATGTACCCCTACTTTTTTTCCAGTGAAATTGAGGCAAAGTTTGGAATCTATATAATACACTTGAAAATACCAATTATCCACTCTTCTCTGGCTGTTTTCTGTTCAACTTGTCCTCAGCCTCTGGTTTCTCTAATCCTTCCCCTCACCAGGAGAGAGGAAAGACAGAAAAAGATACTTCTCTCTACTTGTTCTTCCAGAAACTGTACCTCATCTTTTCTTCTCCTTCTCAGAGAAGAATTGTTTAAATACATAGATTCATCTTGCTTTCTCCTCTTTCTTCACTTCTAGATCGCTTGGTCTTTTTTACTGTGTTTAAGAGAATATGTTTGTATATAATGTTTTAATGTACATAGAAGAAACTAGTAGCCAGTAAAGTTTCTATTTCTTCTCCCCCTGGTACCACATTCCTCCTTAGAGATGTCCACTGTTAACAGTTGGTTGAAACTGTGAGGTAGATGCATTTATGTCAGTTTAATGAACTAAAAACATATACATATGTATTGTTTTTTATGCTTTTACACAAATGGCATCATATTCACATACCTATCTTGCTTTTTGAACCTGATTATATCCTGGGTGGTGTTCCTTGTTAATATATAAAGATTGTTTTAATTCCTATTTCATAGTATGGATATATCATGTAACTATTTTTTCTATTCACAGATATTTAGGTTTTTAATTTCTGTGTGTGTGTGTGTGTGTGTGACGGAGTTTCACTCTCGTTGCCTAGGCTAGAGTGCAATGGTGCGATCTCAGTTCACTGCAACCTCTGCCTCCCAGGTTCAAGCGATTCTCCTGCCTCAGCCAACCGAGTAGCTGGGATTACAGGCATGTGCCACCACGCACAACTAATTTTGTATTTTTAGTAGAGACGAGGTTTCTCCATGTTGGTCAGGCCGGTCTCGAACTCCTGACCTCAGGTGATCCATCCACCTCGGCCTCCCAAAGTGTCGGGATTACAGGCATGAGCCACCATGCCTAGCCTAATTTCTTTTTACTATTGTAAACAGTGCCTCATGAACAACTTTCTCTGTATCTGCTTGCTCTGTAGTACCAGTGTTTATGGAGGTTATACCTGGTAGTCAGGTTTTGACTGAAAGGTACTGAGACTTAAATTTGCCCTCCGAAATCCTTCATAATTACTCCTTTCACTAAATGTAAAGACCAGATAATTTCTGTGTTCCAGTTTTCCAGGCTATTAAAGACGAAAAGGTACCCAGTTCATTTTGTGAAGCCACTTAACCTGAAATTGGAGGAAGATGCTACAAAAAAGAAAATTATAGACCAGTTTCCCTTAAGAACATGGATGTTAAAATGTAAAAATATTCTGAATAGAGCATTAATAAATTGGACATTTAAAAGTAATGCATACACATAGTAAAAATTCAAATGAAAGCTTTGTTCAAGAAAAGGCAAAAAATAATTTTCCCATCCTCAAGATTCCTTCATTTTTTGGTACAGTCTTTCAGAGAATATGTATGCTTACCCGTATGGATGTATGAATCTTTTTTTTTTTTTTTTTTTTGACACAGAATCTTGCTCTGTTGCCCAGGCTGGAGCGCAGTGGCGCAATCTCGGCTCACCTCAAGCTCCGCCTCCCGTGTTCACGCCATTCTCCTGCCTCAGCCTCCCGAGTAGCTGGGACTACAGGCGCCTGCAACCACGCCCGGTTAATTTTTTGTATTTTTACTAGAAACGGGGTTTCACCATGTTAACCAGGATGGTCTCAATCTCCTGACCTCGTGATCCACCCGCCTCAGCCTCCCAAAGTGCTGGGATTACAGGCGTGAGCCGCCGGGCCCAGCCAGGATGTATGAGTCTCTGTTCACTCCTGTGTGTGCTAGCTCTTGCTCTCACATGCTTTTTCTCTAACACATTAGAGCTCATTCTGGTCCTTTTGGTCTTGTCTTCATGATCATTCCACTTTACTTGTATTTAGTTGTCCCTAGGGTTTCTTAGTGCAGCACTATTGTCATTGTGGTTCTGATCATTATTTGTTGTGGCTGCTTTCCTGTGCATTGTATGTATAGCAGAGTCCCTGGCCTCTATCTCTGCTAGGTGCCAGTAGAATCCCTCCTCCAGTTTTGGCAACCAAAGTGTCTCTAGTCATTGCCAAATATCCCTTAGGGGAGAGAAGTATCCAGTGTTTAAAACCAATGGTCTACCTTGTTTGCAAAAGCAGCTGCTTAGTATTTCATTGCATGGGAACACCAATATTTATTCACCTTTCTCCTAGTGATGAACATTCAGGGTATTTCTAGTCTTTTGCTGCTATAAACAGCATAACAATGTACAGTACATTCCGTTGCCTGCATGTGAGTATGTCAGATGTGAGATTTCTAGGTCAGATTCATGTGCATCATGGATTTTGATTCAGAACTGTCAAATTGCCCTCCAAATAGAATATATTGATGTGTACTCCTAGCGGCAGTATATGCCTTTTCCCATAAGTGGGCAATCACAGTGCATTATCCAATGCTTTGATTTTTGCCATGATGCAGGATAAAAGAGTGGTGCATTTTAATTCACATTTCCTGAAATTAGTGTCTTTTCATATTTTTTGTTTCTTTGTTTTTTGGAGACAGGGTCTCAGTCTGTCACCCAGGCTACAGTATGGTGGCATGATCACAGCTCACTGCAGCTTCGACCTCCTAGGCTCAGGTGATCCTCCTGCCTCAGCCTCCTGAATAGCTGGGACCACAGGCGTGCGCCACCACACCTGGCTAATTTTTGTATTTTTTGTAGAGACAGGATTTTGCCATGTTGCCCAGGCTGGTCTCTAACTCCTGAGCTCAAGCGATCTACCTGCCTTGGCCTCCCAAAGTGCTGGGATTACAGGTGGGACCATTGCACTGGGCTATTTGTTTTTTGAGACAGAGTCTTGTTGTGTTGCCCAGGCTGGAGCGCAGTGGTGTGGTCATGGCTCACTGCAGCCTCAACCTCCCAGGCTCAAGCAATCCTCCAACCTCAGCCTCCCAAGTAGCCAGGAATACAGGTACATGCCACCACACCTGGCTAATTTTTCAATTTTTTGTAGAGTTGGAGTCTTACTGTGTTGGCCAGGCTGTTCTCCAATGCCTGAATTCAAGCAATTCTACCACCCTGGCCTTCCAGTATGGTGAGATTACAGGTGTGAGCCACTGTGCCCAGTCTTCTTTTCATTTTTTTAACCACCATTTGTACTTCTTTATTTCAGTTATTTATTCTAGTAATTTGCCTCCTTTTCTCTTGGGTGTGGAATTAATTTGATTGCTGGATGCTAGCTCTTTATGTTAACTCAAGTAAATAAGATCTCTATCTTATATGTTGCAAATATTTTTTCATACTTCATTTGCTTTGACTTGTCTTATTAAGTTTGGGGAGTGGACACTTACATTTTGTTAATGTGGTCTAATTTCACAATCTTTTGTGACTTCTAGATTTTCTTTTATTGCTTATATAGGATTCTGTGAGTCAAGATTATAAAAATGGGATTTCCGTTATGTGGAAAAAGTGGTTACTGAATGGTGGTGACACAGCTGAGTCTCTGTATGGAAACAAAGACTCTTCTATATCATATAAAAGTGAATTCTAGATTGGTTGAAGACCTAAATATATAGTTGAAAAATTGGGTACAAATTTAGGAGGATATATGGATAACTTTGTGCAGTGCAAGAAACGTTTTTTTTTGTTTGTTTTTGTTTTTGTTTTTGTTTTTTGAGATGCAGTCTCCCTCTGTGGCCCAGGCTGGAGTGCAGTGGCGCGATCTTGGCTCACTGCAACCTCCACTTCCCGGGTTCAAGCAATTCTCCCACCTCAGCCTCCCAAGTAGCTCAGACTACAGGTGTGCACCACCATGCCTGGCTAATTTTCGTATTTTTAGTAGAGACGGGGTTTCACCCTGTCGGCCAGGCTGATCTTGAATTCCTGACCTCAACTGAACTGCCCGCTTCAATCTCCCAAAGTGCTGGGATTACAGGCGTAAACCACCATGCCTGGCCCTGCAAGAAACATTTTTAATGAAGATGGAAAACCCAGAAATCATAAAGGGAAATATTGTCAGGTTAGACTGTATTAAAATGTTAAAAACCTGTAGAGTCAGAAGACATATTTGAAGCTGAGAGAAAATACCTTCTATGCATATAATACACAGAGGATTTATGTATGTAATATGAACAATGATTTAAAAAACAAAAAAAATGTGGTAGAAAGGAGTCAAAAAGATAAGGCAGGCAATTTAGAAGAAAAAAATGTGATGCTATTTGAATGGATATTTACTTTTTCCGGTTTTCAAGCCAGGAAAACAGGGCTGATTTTTATTCCTCCCTTTTTGTTGTATTCCAACAAATGAACCCAGTCTCAGTCCTCTTCTACTAACTGTTTGCCTTTCAGATATTTTTTGTTTTATATAGATACAAAACCACAAAATTTTGCATGGGTTGTTTTTAATGAAAATATGCTCCTACTATGCTTTTCTGAAATTTGCTGTTTTTGTTTGTTTGTTTGTTTTTTTATTTTAGAAAAGTATTCCCAGGCATCGCTTATGTGTGAGTCAATTTTTTTTTTTTTTTTTTTTTTGAGATGAAGTCTTGCTCTGCAGGCTGGAGTACAGTGGTGCGATCTCGGCTCACTGCAACCACTCACCTCCCGGGGTTCAAGAGATTCTCTTTCTACAGTCTCCCAGAGTAGTGGGATTATAGGGGCTCGCGCCACCAATACCAGAATTTTTTGTTATTTTAGTAGACGATGGGTTTTGCCATGTTAGCAGGTAGTCTCATACTCCTGATCTCAGTGCTCAGCCTCCAAAGTGACTAGGTTATAGGGGTGAGCACCGACCCATCCTGTGTTGAGTCAATTTTTTATCATGCGAGTTCAGAGTATTAGATGGAACATTTATTTAATACTTCTCCGTTTTTCCTAGTCATATGCAGATATATTGTGCCAATCAGGGGTTATTTCTTCTCATAAGCAATTGTCACCTGGTAATACGCTGTTGTATATACGGGGGGGTGCAGCCATGTATATACACGCAGGAGAACCACCTCGAGAAATTCAGATTGTTTGGCTTCTATCGTGTTTGATTGCTGTCTATTTTGCTTCTTGTTATGTTTTTATATGTCTCTATTTTGTCTATTGGTGGGTCTTACTTTGGTTGCCCAGCTGCATAAGTGGTGCTGAGTGAGACTTAGATGTTGGTGCGATTGTCAGGAGGGTCGACTGCGACCCTAGGGACGCTCGCTACGGCTCATCGAGTGGCAAAATATCGCGCAAGTTCTGTTTCCTCCTCATTCCTAAGAACCCTACTCATGAGATAAACCAAGAAAGAAGAACTACTATAGGCACCGGGCCCCTGCATGGCGCGGCTTCATAATTTATTGTGGTGTTGTGTCTTGGAGCCAGACTCAGGAGGACTGACGAGGCTCGCTGGAGTGCTCGGCTGTGAGCCGTGGCGGAGTGGCGATTGGCTCACTGCAACCTCCACCTCGTAGGTTCAAGTGATTCTTCTGCCTTAGCCTCCCGAGTAGCTGGGACTACAGGCGCGCGCCACCACGCCCAGCTAACTTTTGTATTCTTAGTAGAGACAGGGTTTCCCATGTTGGCCAGGATGGTCTCGATCTCTTGACCTCGTGATCCGCCTGCCTCAGCCTACCAAAGTGCTAGGATTATAGGCATGAGCCACTGCGCCCAGCCCTTTTTTATTTTTATAGAGATGGGGTTTCTCCATGTTGCCCAGGCTGGTCTCAAACTCCTGAGCTCAAGCGATCCATCTGCCTTGGTCTCCCGAAGTGCTGAGATTACAGGCGTGAGCCAGTGTGCCAGGCCTTTTAGGGCTTTCTTCTACTTTTTGCTAATATGAATAGGACTGCCTTGGACATCCTTATGTACACATAAATATTTCACTAGGATAGGGTCCTGTAAATGCAACTGCTGGTTAAAGTAAGAAACAAATACCTGTAATAGGTACAGTCAAATTATGTATCAATAATCCTTTATATGAGAGTATTTAATTTCTAATACTCTTCATCAGCAGTGACTCTTATGGATAAAAGACAGTATCTTATTGTTTAATGAGCATATATGTGAATTTTAGTGAGGTTTATAATCTTTTTGTGTTTCTAGGCCTCTAACATTTCTGTTGCTATGAGTATTTTATTCATACTGTTGGGCTGTCTTTTCTTATTGATGTGTTAAAGGTGTAGGGTAAAATCCTAGAAAGGTCATTGCTTTGTTAAACGGTATTTGCAATGTAAAATTTGATATATATTAACCAATTGTTCCTCCCCAAAATGCTGTAAATAGTTTATAACTTCTTTGGTGTTTTTTCCACATACTTGACTGTACTAAGTATTATCAACCTTTTCAGCATTTAAGAATATGAAAGGAATACATGATAAGTTGTATATTTATTTTATATTTGTTCAGTTGTATGTTAGGTTGTGGTCTTTTTCATAATGGTTTGTTAGAATTTTAGTGTATAAAGGAGATTAGCCCATTGTTTTGTATATTTCAAATACTTTTCTCACTTTGATATTGATGTTTCATAATATTATAATTTTTGGCCAAGTGCTGTGGCTCATGCCTGTAATCCCACCACTTGGAAGGCTGAGGCAGGAGGATTGCTTAAGCTTGGGAGTTTGAGACCAGCCTGGGA